GGGCCGTGAGCGTGGGGGCCCCCAGCCCAGGCTGCCCTGCTCACCACAGCACGGGCCGTGAGCATGGGGGCCCCCAGCCCAGGGAGAAGCCCTGAGCCTTTCTCCCAGGAAGGGGGTGAGAACACCTACACTGCAGGCTGCTCTGAAGAGAGACAAAGTCTTAAACATACAATTGTTTGGCACGGGCCACAACCAGGGGAGCTGCTGTCACAACACTCTGGTGACCCCCTCCTCACTGGCCTCCCTCGGATACGCCTGTCTTGGGCTCTTTCGATGGGGGTCACCTTCCTGTAAAACATGAGGACCACAGGCTTAGAGCCCACTCCTTCTCGAAAAATAATCCCCTTCTTGGAAATATCTAAGAAGAATTCTTCCAAACCCTTTCTCCTTTGTGTTTGTTCAAAAACCCCAACCCCCTGCCCCTGCATTGATTAGGACTCCTGGCGACCCCAGTGTGCAGAGAAGAACTGCTCCACGGGGTTATCAAGGCTGTGACCTTTCGGAAGCAGGCAGCCAGGCCTGTCTTCTGAGGCACTTCTGGGCAGGCCTGAACTGCCAGCCTTCCAGTAGGTAGTCAAGCGCTTAATTGTTTGCCCCACCCAGGGCCTCCTTTATGCTCGCTAGCTCCCACTCTTCCCTCTGACCCTACCCCGCCCCGCTGCCCACAGAGCCTCGCCTGCCTGGCCGCGGGGCCTCTCTAGGACAGTCACACTGCTGCCAGCAAGAGACGAGCCGGCCGTCACCACGTGTGACTGGCCATCCCCTGAGCGCCTGCTTCTCCACTTCCCTCATTTCTGCCATTGACAGGAGCTCTCCTGTGCACTCTGGCCAGCCTGCCTCCCACGGGCCAGGCATACAAACACGTCACCGCGTTTCCTCCCACGGCCCGCCGGCCCCCCTCGGAGGACTGTGGCTCATGCCCAGACCCTGTCCACACGCCACAGCCGCAGGCGACACCACACACCCACCATGGGAATGGTCGCCGTGCTCCCTCTTCTTCTGGGACCGCCCCGTGCTCCTGTTTCTTGACCAGGAGAAAAACGCTCCCTTCCGCTTCTTCTCAGCGTCCTCCTCCCCCAGGTCTTCATTCAGGGATCTTCCGGATTTGGATTTTCCACTTAACTGTTGTCAAATGGCACACTTGGTTAAGATGATGTAACTTACTTAGTATTACAGCAGATGGAGTACGTTATCTGATACTGACAGCCGGGAGTACCCTATGGAACCATCTAGCTCCTTGAACTGCAGGCTGGAGCCCTTCCCTCCCATGCTTGGCTCAGAGTCTCAGCATAAGGCTCATTCTGAAGGGCGAGGTCTGAGGAACTGACCCCTCAGCTAGGGGAAGTGCGAATGGACACAGGCGTTTATTTTCCCTTCCCATGGATGGCTCTCACGTCTCCCATGTCAGTTGGGGAGGCCACTGGGCCAGAGGGCACCTTCTTGGGTGTGGAGACGTTGGAGAGGTCCGAGCCGACACTGTGTTTGGAGGCCGGGCTGCTGGGCACCTGCTGGGCATCGGGCAGCGAGCGGCCCTCCACCTCGGCCAGGATGCACTCCTGGTACAGCTGCGACTTGAGGAAACGCGTGTAACTGTCGAACTTCATCAGGTTGAAAATCTGGAGAGTCAATGCAGCACATAGCAGAGGCAGGAGCTGGGGGGCATGTCCCTTGGGTGCAGGGCCTGGAGCCCACGGCCGTTCTTGGGGGGACACTGTCCCGCCCACCCCTGGGCCCCTGGCTACTTCTCCTCACAAAGCAGCCCCTCCTTTGTCACTTGTACACCTGGCCAACTCGCAGAGCTTAGCTAAGCCAGTCCCAAGGGTGGACGCAGACACCCAGCAGGCAAGCTTCTAGAACCTGGCCTTGGCTGGCTAAGAGGGGAACCAAAAGCAACTAGGCTTCTAAAGGAACTGAGAAGGAACCTGAAAGTACCTTATCCGATTGTTTTACATCGTTCCTGTGACTTAGAGTTAGTCTCTGGGAAGGCCAGTGAGAAGCTTTCTAGAACACGCGTTCTAAATGCCATTAGGTCTAAGGTACATGTTTTCATGACAGCAATGCTGTCAAATTTCTACAAATCCGGATATACATGTGTCATCCCACACGAATATATGGTTTCCACACTGCACATCCTTCTGCCTCCCTCTGAGCCCAAAGCCCCATGGGTATTATAACCCGGGTTCCTCTCAACCCACACTCCCCTCTCCGTCTGGGACCTGTGTACAGGCGCCCATTCCAGCTGGCGAGCCCTTCACCCAGCCCCGCCAGGAGCCTCGTGGGAGCGGAGGTGTGTGCAGTACCTGGAGCTGCTGCTCCTTGAACATGTCAGGGTGCGGGGCATTGAGGATGTCATCCGCCAGCTGTGCCTGGCTGTCAATGTTGACGGGGGTGGTGGCTTTGCTGCACAGGAACTTAGTGAAAATCTCCCGGGCCCTGTAGGAGAGCTGACAGGTAATAGTGCATGAGCAGACATGCTGACTCTAGGCCTGCCCCGTGTGTGTGTGTGTGTGTGTGTGTGTTCTGTGGTTTTACTGCTGTGTCCCTGTGCCCGACAGTTCCGGGCATGAGAACATTTTCATGGGCCCAGCAAACATTTCTTGCTTGGATGGATAAATAAAAGTGGCACCAGTATTAAAATGCTCACTGCATCAGCTCTGCTCTATTTCTTAAATGGCCAATTTAAGCATCCGACGGCAGGAGGCATCTCCGTGCCACGCACGCACGTGTGTGTGTATGCGTGTGCATGTGATCGTGACAGCTTGTTCTTGGGAAGCTCAGCAGAATCTGAGCCTAACCAGTGGATCCAGGCAGCACGGGCTGGGGTGGCTCTTCCACCGTTAGTGGGCAGGGAGGAGGGCACGAGCCATGGAGGTGGCCGTGCCAGATGCCAGGCAGGGCAGCCACTGAAGAGGCCCCGGGCCTGTCCTGCCCGCACACGTGCCTGGGTGTCGGGAGACTCTCCTAGTGCTGGGTGCCTAAGACCCCCTGTGAGGCAGCTGTGAGTGACATTCTCGGGTACACTTCCACCTACAACTGTCTCGTCACTGCCCTTTAAACGCACACTTCCCTCTTGATGGAGACGCAGCTGCTGACGAGGGTTTTATGTCAAAGCCATACATAGGCTATGTTTAGGCAAAATTAAATATCATGTATATTAAGAAATTTATTCTGAAAAGGAAACGGTATTTGAAAAGCCATGTGAAATACTTCCACATGCACTTTCAATGCCAGCCGCGTGCTAGCCAACCTACATGCGTCTTTCAGCTCCGAGGTGTAACAGACATACCTCTTTTTTGTCGTGCGCAGGGACATGATTAAAATATTCACAGGCCTGCCAGAATAAAATGTTCTCCTCACTGAACTCCTTCCTTAGGAAATCCTAGAAAAACACCACCAGCGAAGAGTCACACGGTTATCAGTGAGCGGGGAGCTGCCATCTGTGTGCACACGGGGGCTTCCCTCGTTCCTACACTTCCTTACTCTGTGGACAGGGGGAATGACGGCATCTTCTTGGGCCCCGGAAGATACCCTGGAAGGGCCCAGAGTCTGGGAACCTTCGCTTTGGCACTCATGTCTGTTCTCTGAGAACTTGCTTACACAAAGCTCAAATGATACTTGCTGGGATCTCAAGTCGGGGGCAGGGGGAGAGTTCATGGGGAGCTGGGGGAAGGCAGGACATAGACGCCCCTGGGCCCTCGCCCTGGCCCTAAGGGAGGACATGGGGAGAAAGAGACCCCTGCCCCATGGACTACTTGGGACCCGGCACACCTGTCCCCATGACTCAACATGCCATCACTTTCTGGGGTACCCAAGCCTGGCTGAATACAGCGACAAGGGTTGGTCTGGGCATGGACCCCTCCTCTGGGCAGAGATGAGCAGCTTCCCGTTCAGGGCCCCCGCACAGGCTCAGCGGCCCTCCATACTCACAGAGAAGTACTTAACGCCCACGGGGTCCTGGAGGAGGCGCTCAAAGGACACGGCCCAGCTGGCGACCCGCCTGGCACGCAGGTGCCTGCAGCTCTGCACGCTGGGGAGGCTGGCATTGCTGCTCAGGCTGTGGTTGCTCACGCAGTCCTTGAGGTTGCCGCCGTCCAGCTCTGCGGGCGACACAGACACCCACTGCAGCCCTGCTCCCGGCTTGGGTGCGCGTTCAAGAGCACACTCACCCAGCAAGCGCTGCCACGCAAAGGAGACTGGGGGGGGGTCACCAGTACATTTTCTCTAAAGCAGCAAAGGGTCCTGTGCATCCACACCATGCCGAGTGCTGGTCTAGAAACAGGGGACACAGCAGTGAGGAAAGCAAAACCCTGCCCTGACGCAACTATACACACACTCACACACACAAACACGCTCACACATACTTACAAACACACGCACACACACACACACTCACGCACAAACTCATGCTCACAAACACATACACACAGCCACACTCATTCACACACACATTCACTCATTCACTAACACACATGCATGCCCACTCACACACTCATGCACACTCACACAACAGCACACTCACAAACACACCCACCCACTCACAAGCACACTCGCACACAATGCACTCACACAATGCACTCACACACTCATTCACTAACACATGCACACTCATGAACACACACCCACTCCCATGCACACTCACACGCTCCCTCATTCACTAGCACACATGCACATGCACTGTACTCTCAAGCACACACACAGACTCACACACACACTCATGCACACTGAAACATACCACTGAAGCACACTCACTCAGAAACATACTCTCATGCACATACACCCTCATGCATGCACACACACACACTCATGCAGTGTCACTCATGCATACACACATTTGCACACACTCTCATACACATACACCCTCATACACACATGTGAACACAATCACACACACATTCACCTACACTCTAACAACAGCAGACTATGGCCAAGGGGATAAGCAGGAAAAGCAACTGTGATGGTTAAGGTTATGTGTCAACTTGGCTAGGCCATGATTCTCAGTGGTTTGACAGATATGAGGTAATCATCCTCTATTTTGCGATCTGATGTGAGCAGCCAACCAGCTGAAGGGCCAATCAGTTGAAAGCCAATCCGTTTTCTTAGAGGTGTGGCCTGCATCCAACATATATGAATTTTCTGACAAATCTCTCTCCAGATCCTGTATCTGACTCGTCATCCTCTGACCTCCAGTTCTTGGGACGTGAGCCAGCAGCCTGCCACCTAATCTGCAGATATTGGGATTTGTCCTCTCCCCTAACCCTGTGAGGCAGCAGCCTGCCACCTGACCTTCCAATCTTGGGTTTGTCAGCCCCTGTAACCATGTGAGTCAGGAGAAGCCTCTAGCCTGATGCCTGACTGACAAATTTGGGATTTGCCAGCCTCCACAACTGTGTAAGCCATTTCCTTGAGATAAATCTCTCTCTCTCTCCACATATAAACCAGAAAAACCAAACCCACTGCCGTTGAGTCAATTCTGACTCACAGTGACCTCATACAGTTTCTAAGGCTGTAAATCTCTACAGAAGCACACTGTCACATCTTTCTCCCGCAGAACTGCTGGTGGTTTTGAACCGACAACCTTTCAGTTAGCAATCAAATTCTTTCACCATTGCATCACTAGTATATATATATACACCCCAGGAGTCTGTCAGTTTGTCTTACTGTGGGGGCTTGTGTGTTGCTATGATGCTGGAAGCTATGCCGCTGGTTATTCAAATACCAACAGGGTTGTCCATGGTGGACAGGTTTCAGCAGAGCTCCCAGACTAGGACAGACAAGGAAGAAGGAACTGGTGGTCTACTTCTGGTAAGAATTAGCCAGTAAAACCTTATGAATAGCAGCGGAATATTGTCTGATATAGTGCCTGAAGATGAGCCCCTCAGGTGGGAAGGCACTCAAAACACGATTGGGGAAGAGCTGCCTCCTCAATGTAGAGTTGACCTTAATGACGTAGATGGAGTCAAGCTTTCAGGTCCTTCATTTGCTGATGTGCCATGACTCAAAATGAGAAGAAACAGCTGCAGACATCCATTAATAACTGGAACCTGGAGCATACAAAGTATGAATCTAGGAAAATTGGAAATCGTCAAAAATGAAATGGAACATATAACCATCGATATCCTAGGCATTAGTGAGCTGAAATGGACTGGTACTGGCCATTGGAATCGGACAATCGTATGGTCTACTATGCTGGGAATGACAACTTGAAGAGGAATGTCGTCGTGTTCATCGTCAAAAAGAACATTTCAAGATCTATCCTGAAGTACAATGCTTTCAGCGATAGGATAATATTCATATGCCTAAAAAGAAGACCAGTTAATACAATTATTCAAATTTATGCACTAACCACTAAGGCCAAAGGTGAAGAAATTGAAGATTTTTATCAACTTCTGCAGTCTGAAATTGACTGAACATGCAATCAGGATGCACTGATAATTACTGATGGTTGGAATGCAAAAGTTGGAAATGAAGAAGCACTGGTAGTTAGAAAATATGGCCTTGGTGATAGAAACGATGTCAGAGATCACATAACAGAATTTTGCAAGACAATGACTTCTTCATTCCAAATACCTTTTTTCAACAACATAAACAGCAACTATACATGTGGACCTCACCAGAAGGAATACCCAGGAAACAAATCGAGTACGTCTGTGGAAAGAGACGATGGAAAAGCTCAATATCATCAGTCCGAACAAGGCAACGGGTCGACCGCAGAACAGACGATCAACTGCTCATATGCAAGTTCAAGTTGAAACTGAAAAAAATTAGAACAAGTTCAAGAGAGCCAAACTATGACCCTGAGTATATCCCACCTGAACTTAGAGACCATCTCAAGAATAGATTTGCCACGTTGAACACTAAAGACCAAAGATCAGATGAGTTGTAGAATGATATCAAGGACATCATAGATGAAGAAAGCAAGAGGTCATTAAAAAGACAGGAAAGAAAGAAAAGACCAAAATGGATGTCAGAAGAGACTCTGAAACTTGCTCTTGAACGTCAAGTAGCTAAAGCAAAAGGAAGAAATGATGAAGTAAAAGAGCTGAACAGAAGATTTCAAAGGGCGGCTTCAGAAGACAAAGCAAAGTATTACAATGATATGTGCAAAGACCTGGAGACAGAAAACCAAAAAGGAAAAACACGCTTGACATTTTGCAAACTGAAAGAAATGAACAAAAAATTCAAGCCTTGAGTTGCAATACTGAAGGATTCTGTGGGGAAAATAATAAACGACACAGGAAGCATCAAAAGAAGATGGAAGGAATACACACAGTCACTATGCCAAAAAGAACTGGTTGATGTCAGCCATTCCAGGAGGAGGCATATGATCAGGAACCAACGGTACTGAAGGAAGAAGTCCAAGCTGCACTGAAGGCATTGGCAAAAACAAGTCTCCAGGAACTGATAAAATGCCAGTTGAGATGTTTGAACAAACAGATGCAGCGCTGGAAGTGCTCACTCATCTACGCCAAGAAATCTAGAAGACAGCTACCTGGCCAACCGACTAGAAGAGATCCATATTTATGCCTATTCCCAAGAAGGTGATCCAACTGAATGCAGAAATTATTGAACAATATCATTAGTATCACACACAAGTAAAATTTTTCTGAAGATCATTCAAAAGAGATTGCAGAGTACATCGACAGAGAACTTCCAGAAATTCAAGCCAGATTCAGAAGAGGACATGGAACCAGGGATATCATTGCTAATGTCAGATGGATACTGGCTGAAAGCAGAGAATACCGGAAAGATGCTTATCTGTGTTTTATTGACTATGCAAAGGCATTCGACTGTGTGGATCATAACAAATCAAGGATAACATTGTGAAGAATGGGAATTCCAGAACACTGGAATTGAGCTCATGAGTATCCTGTACATAGACCAAGAGGCTGTTGTTCGAACAGAACAAGGGGATACTGCATGGTTTAAAGTTAGGAAAGGTGTGCATCAGGGTTGTATCCTTTCACCATACCTATTCAATCCGTATGCTGAGCAAATAATCCAAGAAGCTGGACTATATAAAGAAGCATGTGGCATCAGGATTGGAGGAAGACTCATTAACAACCTGCGGTATGAAGATGATACAATCTTCCTTGCTGAAAGTGAAGAGGACTTGAAGCACTTACTGATGAAGATCAAAGACCACAGCCTTCAGTATGGATTACACTTCAACATAAACAAAAATCCTCACAACTGGACCAATAAGCAACACCATGATAAACGGAGAAAAGATTGAAGTTGTCAAGGATTTGATTTTAGTTGGATCCACAATCAATACCCATGGAAGCAGCATTCAAGAAATCAAAAGACGCATTGCATTGGGCAAATCTGCTGCAAAAGACCTCTTTAAATTGTTGTAAAGCAAAGATGTCACCTTGAAGACTAAGGTGCACCTGGCCCAAGCCATGGTGTTTTCAATCGCCTCAGATGCATGTGAAAGCTGGATGATGAACAAGGAAGACCGAAGAAGAACTGACGCCTTTGAATTGTGGCATTGGTAAAGAATATTGAATATACCATGGACTGCCAAAAGAACGAACAAATCTGTCTTGGAAGAAGTACAACCAGAATGCTCCTTAGAAGCAACGATGGCGAGACTACATCTTACATACTTTGGACATGTCAGGAGGGATCAGTCCCTGGAGAAGGACATCATGCTTGGTAAAGTAGAGGGTCAGTGAAAGAGAGGAAGATCCTCAACGAGATGGACTGACACAGTGGCTGCAACTATGGGCTCAAGCATAACAATGATTGTGAGGATGGCGCAGGACTGGGTAGTGTTTCGTTCTGTAGTACACAGGGTCGCTGTGAGTTGGAACTGACTCAACAGCACCTAACAACAACATAAACCAAAAACCAAACCCGCTGCTGTTGAGTCAATTCTAACTCATAGTGACCCTACAGGACAGTGTAGAACTAACTGCTCCATAGAGTTTCCAAGGGGCACCATATTATATATATACATATATATATACATATATATATATGTATATATATGCTACATTAGTTTTGTTCCTCTTGAGAACTCAGCCTGAGACAGCAACCATAAACAAAAACTGCACACACACTCACACGCAGGCACACACTCACACACACTTAC